CACTTCAGTGGTAGTTGGTGTGTTGAGCATTTACATTTTTTACTTTATGTTGTTCTTTGATGTTTCTGTAATGCAATTCTTCGTACAATTTGGCATACTGTACATGAATCCCAACATGTTTGTGATAACCTAAAATGGACTGAGAATTCTAGCCAATTTATCTGTCTGGCTGTAGTGCAGTTGCACCGTGGGAGGGGTGATGGGAAGTTTGGGACTTTGAGGCTGGACTAGAGCGCCTTTGCTCACACTTCTCCACTCTGTCAGTTTTCTGAATCAGAGCCATGGGACAAGCCGTCTCTGATAGCTAGGCAGCTAATGTCAACAATGGACCTCAGAGAGTCATTAGGAATAATGTGACGCTGCTGAGTGCCCAGGCCTCTGCTTCATAAAAACAGGTGGTCCTAGGGTCACCCCTCCTTCTCTTCCCCTCACCTCCTCTACTTAGCATACCTTCTGGCTCCCTCCCTCCTCTTCTCTCCTCTCCCCTTCCACCATTCCCTCAGCACACACGGGAAAGGTTATTTGGACAATTGGTGGTGATTAGCTCTTGATTTGGCTCACTCTGTATATTTGATCAGGCCGTGGCACGGAGGGGAAAGCCAGTGCGACTGAGGGCGCAGCTGTGGCTCGGCCATGACTGAAATTGGGTGAGGAAAACCAGAAGGAGAAGGAGGGGAAGGGAGGGAGCAGATGAGATGAGAGGGAGGCAGGGTTGAAGAGGAAGAAGAGGAGGAGGAGTGAGGGGTGGGGGGTTTAGGGACCTCTAGGGTCCTTTGCTTTCTTGGCAGTTTGAGTTATGGATTTGGGGCTGCTGGCAGAGAAAATGTGAACTGCTTTGTCCCTGTTATTCCAGGTGTGGGCCCTCGTTAAGAAAAAAAAAATGTATTCTTCTTTTCAACCTTTCGTTCAACAACCTGATTCCATCCTCTTGATGTCTCTCCTGGGTGGTGGATTGCTAACCAGAAAAATGTGGGTGCTGCCTAATAGCTGGCTGGTAAGTCGGGTTATAAAGTCTACTTTGCCCTCAAGTGTTTGGGGGCTGTGTTGGCTGGGTTGGATGTGCTGGCTGCACTGCTCTTTGGGTTGGATGGGGTTGGTGTTGGGTTTAGGCTTGGCCCAGAGCGTCAACCTGGCTGGTTAGGCCAAGGAATTTTTCTCACAGTAACGGCTGTTCTATCCATCCTTCCATCCCTTCATCCACCCATCCCTCCACTCACAAAGCCAGCCAGGCAAGTAGGAAGGGCCTCTCACTATCTGGGTATTTAGCCAACAAATCCCCACTCCACTCCTTTGGCCTCTTCTCTACGCCCATATATCAGGCTGACGGCTGCGGAGAACCCGACATCCAGCCAGCTGAATAAAACAGAGATTAAGCACCCACCCGAATCCATTTAATTACTCGTTCAACAGCTCTCGGCGTGTAACTCCAACCGCTGTGAGAACTTTGCTGTTCTTCAGTCTTAACTTTGCTCCCAGTGACCACAGGGAGGTTGACAGAAGTGGCTGGTCACAAAAGAAATTTTGGCCTTGGTAACTCAAATAATCCGTTAATCAGTTGTTGTTAACTGCATGTTTGTGTGCCGTAATTTTAGGCTTGGTTACCAGGGTGTGTAAGGATGGGGGTGGTGGAAGCAGGCTGAACCATTCTGTTATAACAATGACATGACATCTCATCTGTAGACATCTGTAGATACAGATGTGGCAGTTTTTGACAGAAAAACACCTATGCAATATTGTCACTGTATAGAGAAGAATAACATCTTGCTGCTGACAGGCTGAGACATTATTTACCCTCCTATGGTACACTAGTGTAGCACATGGCTTCCTCATACAGTAATCTTCCAGTACTGTTGCATTTTCACAGTAATGTCTTCAATGGGACAGATGTACTTTTTAAATCAGTAATCAGTAAATTACATAATGAGAAAATTACATATAATTAACACTGACCAAAATGAGCAGTTAGCAGTTAGCAAATAGAATTGATATATTTGTTTAAATCTAGAAATTCAAACTTCAACGTTTCTGTATTTTTAGAGAAAACTGTGAATATCTGAAGGTTATGAGGCCCTTGATGAGGGTTTCTGAATGTGTGACAGGATCTTGGAAATAAAATATTTAGAGTTCACAAGGACGGGGTTACCACAGTAGACGGCATTTATTTTTTGGCATCACTCGGGCGGTGTGCAACAGCCTCCAATCAGCAGCTACAATATGGCCTGTTGTCAAGAATGCATCAGTTTGGTGGCAGCACGTTTGCTTTTGAGATAGTGGTGAACCAGGGCGGCTTTTCTGTGTGTGACACAACACACCCAGGCCCTAGAATCAGCTTTGATTTGCCTTACTGCCAGCACTCACAAGGATTTGTGCAAGAGTACTGTACATACATGGCAATACATTCATGTTCACACACAGTAAGGCTTGAGAGAGCAAATTCACTAAGCAAGCTGATGTGACTGAAACTCCCACATTTTTTTTTGCATTTTTCTAAAACTAGCGCTGCTTTTATGTTTAACACGGCCCTCAGCCTCATCAAGGAGAGCTGACGCAGCTGAGGGCCAGGAGAGGAGGTGCTGGGTGCTGGAGGGGGACTGGGCATCTGGGGAAAAACCTGAGGGGGACCCAGGGTGCTGCAGACTGCAGAACAGTCGCATGACCTTTTCTAGAATGCTGCCACCCGCCTGCCACTGAAACACGGTCTGGCTAATTAAAGTTTCAGTGGCATTGGATTTTCACTGGCATAGCACACCTCGGGCAACCTTGGGGGCTCTTAGGCAGGCGATACACACAGAGGGAAGGATGGGAGATATAAGAAGAGAGAAAGAAGAGCTGTGGAAAACGTTGAATAAGGGGACAGCCGCTAGAGGACAGCACGGTGGATCCAAGCAATAACAATCAGTCAGTGGCTTTCCATTACACACAGGAGAAAGGCTATATATTAGAATGCAAATCTACAATCACAAACATGCACACTACTTGGGTATTTTACATAAGCTCTGACATGGTTTGCCCTTCCAAATAGTTATGCTCAAAATATTCAAGATCATATGGAATTAGAAATGAAATTGAAACTGTCCAACTCTGTACAACTGGGTGAATGCAAGAGCTAGGCGAGAGATATGCAATGTCAAAATGCTGAGTGCTTTTCCAAATCTTATCGGGCCGCCTCTCAGGCTAATGGAATTTTGATGGGTCAGTATCAAGAATAAATGCATGACTTATGACACGGCTACCGGGAGCATTACCAAATACACTGGACAGCATGTTCCCGTCTCCAAAGGATCATTGAATAATTGGCTGCGTTTGACCAGGACATTTCTGGAAATATGGCCAAGAAAAGGTTATGCAACCAGACAGACTCGCTCATGGCCTGTATTTCACAATCTGCTGGCCTTGTCTCCATTAATGATCTTGACCCCCTTTTCACCATTTGAGAAGTGAAAGGGCCTAATGGAGCTGAACAAAGCTGCTTGTGTGTGTCTGTGTGTGTGACTGTGTGTGAGAGACAGAGACACAGAGAGAAAGAAAGCCCCCGTGACTGTTTGTTACAGCTTGATGAGGTCTTGGTCTGTGATTCCTGAGGGAGGTGGTCCAATCTAAGCTTTATTAGGCCTTATTGAGCTGTGTGCAGGCAGGTGTGTGTGTTTTCTCTATCAAGAACATTTGGCAGGGCTTTATGAGTACCTTTGTGTGTCCCTAAAATACACTCAGTTGGCAGCAGTTTAATGGGGTGTGCGAGGTATTGTACATGGAGCTTTTTTCATGCCTGTAATTTTCTTCTCAGAGGTGAACTTTTTAGTTTAGTGATCAGTTCTGTACATAGACCTACTGGTCTTATAATCGGTTGGATTAATCGGGTAGATTATCTGACATTTTGAGATCATCAATGTCGGCTGATGCCTACGCTCATAAGGCAAACAAAAAATGTCTACAGACACATCTGCAGGAACGATGTTAGCGCTTTGTGAGTTTTGTGAAGGTGGTGAAATAGTTTCCAGCCCAGTACTAGAACCCTCATGCATCCTGCTGTAAACGTCATTAAAAAACTCATGTCGGTCAACCACTAACCGGTCCAATGCCTCTCTGCAAAGATGCCAACTTTGGGTCTAACTATGTACCTTAAATATTCTACGATATTTTAAATATATTATATTATATATGCAATATTTATATGAGGTCTATCGAGTGGACAGTTGTACTCTATTATCTTTCAAAAAAGAAAGATAGTTGTTTTGTTTAGCTAAGTAAGTGACTGATAATCTGACTAAAGACAGAGAGTTAAAAGGATTCAGTTTTGAGCTGGCGAGCTCACTTTGACTGGTGGCCAGGTGGGCCAGCTTTGATTGACATTTGACTTGGCTGTTAGCTTCATGGTTTGGTGCCCATGAGCCATTGCAAATTCTTCATCGTTTCTAAACACAAATTGGTTTTCTTGGCTAAGTACAACATCCCCTACGCAAGATGTTTCTTGTGTCTCATGTCTGTCAGCTATTCATTCAGTTAGTGACTGAAATATGATCCTCTCTGGGTAATCTCTCCATTTGACTTATTTGGACTGCAGGAAAGCATTCATTCATCATTTTAAAGTTGAGAAATTGTTTCCATTAAATGCTTTTAAAGATGACCGTTTAAATTCTTAGCTGTATATTTTTAGAATGGATTTGACCTTTCACCCATAATACGATACAATATCAGCTTTCCAAGAGAGTCAAATGACAAAATAAATTGTTTCTTGAAAAGTTTACATTAACATAGAATTTATGGAAAGTAATAATGGAAACATCAAGTTTCCACATTAAATAAATTAAAGTGGATGACATTTATGTAGGCTATAGTAACATTATGATCGAGTCAGAGAATAAATAGAGGCATACTGTACACCACGTACTGCTAAATACATACAGCCATGAGAACATCATGACCAAGCACACCCTGTACTGGCATTGGCAAGTGTGACAGAGGAACCTCTGTATTTAACTGTAATTGTTCCCAGTACTCACGGTTGGCAGAGTTTGATGAGGTCCTGGTCGGTGGTCCCAGGTGGCAGGCCTCGGATATACAGGTTGGTCTTACTCAGCTGCTCTGCCCCTCCCTGGCTGCAGCTGTTGGTGCTAGGGCTGGGAGGAGCCATGGGATGAGGGGGTGGAGCATAGGGCTGCTGGGAAAAGAGAAGGAACGACTTAACACAAACGACTAAAGTTGGTTTAATTTAATGGGATGACACTGGATGAAGATGAAATAGTTAAAAACATTGAGAGGTGAGGTGAGGTGTGAAAAAAGAACATTTCTGAGACAGCAGAAGAAAGTTTAAGAAGAACTGAAAAATATATCTATTAGAGACACAGCAGGCACCACCAGTTCAATGTCAGTGCAATTATGTGAGTAGACATTTTAGGGCAGCTGCGACACTGAGAGAATGAGATCAGGGTCAGAAAGAGATGAAAACATTCAACCCAGCAGCAGATATTTATGAGTAAAATCTCAAGAAAAACAAACATCTAACCTCAGTCTCGAATAATAATATTACATTGCAGAGAAAACATTTTCAAGTAGAAAAATAACGTCTGCACAATGACAAAAAAGTCAAAAACGCTCCTCAGATATAGCGACACTAGTATTTCTATACACTTTTACTTCATCTTTTCCATTTTATACCACATTTTTTCACCTTTGTTCAGTAGCAATAAATTGCATCTGAGGTTCTCTGTCATTGTAAAGGTCTTTTTTCTAAATATGCGACTGGAGTCAAAGAGAGCAAACTTTTCTAATTTTTTTATTTTAAGTAAACATTTCACCAAGGGAACTTTGAAATTAAGGTTCATAAGGCTTCCAGCAGCTTATAACAGTTTTAAATGATGGCAACTTCCTGTTTACTATTCATACCCTCAAAACCAATTTCAATACACTGTAAAACAATTTACACCTCCAAGGGTGTGATATCTTGACGCAGTAATCCTCTCCAGCCTATTTCATAAACATCTCAATAGGAACCTCTTTTTTTCAGTATAATCTCTATCTTCCAAGATGTATTAGATATCTGTTTCCCTCTCTTTCTTCTTCTCCCTCTCTTTTCCCCTCCCCTGCTCTCCTCATGTGTCTGTTGTGCTGTTAGTGTAGATTTATGGTATAGGAGTCAGGGCCCCCTGCTCACAGCCCATTTATATCTCTATTGCAGGGATACTGCACATAGTGACAGAAAGAGAGAACCAGGACCCTGTGGGCATAAGCGGAAAGAGAGAGAGAGAGAGAGAGAGGGCGAGAGGAGGGAAGAGAGAAAGAGACGACGCTCACTGCAATAAAGTGAGTGATGGATGAAACGGAAAAGAAGAAAAATGGTCAGGGAGAGCGGAGGACATGACTAAATACCACTACCAGCTCCAGTTAACCACATTAACCCCTTATCCTCCCCAGAGAGAACCGCAAGACCCCATACCATGCCGTAAAAGCACATACACACAGTTAAACACGCACGCACGCACACACCATTAGCCCTCCAATCCGCCCCACACGTTAGCAGCGGCTGCCGAAGCATGGCTGATTTGATGCGCTATTTTAAGCGTGTGTGCCATGCCAGCGTGTTGCCTCCCACTCCTCAGACAAAGAGTCGGGGTCCCTGGAGCGTGAAGAGGGAGCCACGTCCATCAATGGACGGCCAATTACCACGCTGAGCTAAGTGGAACTGATGGGCAGCCACTCGCTGTGCTGGACACACACACACACACACACACACACACACACACACACACACACACACACACACACACACACACACACACTGTACACACGTCTATGTTTGTGCACACACACACACACACACACACACACACACACACCACCTGATAACACAGAAACACCTTTTTTTTTAACACAGAAGCCAAAACAGCCAAAGCTGTTCTAAGTTCTTTGGGGCAACTTCAACTGACAAGTCTCAAGTCAAGTCCCAAGTCCTGCAGGGCAAATCCATGTCAGGTCACAAGTCTTCATAAGGAAAGATTGTAACTGGTGGGCTGTCTTGGCCAGAAATCCCTCAGAAAAGAGATTTCAATCTCAAGGGACTTCCTGGTTAAATATTGGTTAAATTTAATTCAGGTCTTTGAATGGTGCCCATTAAAAAGACGTGACCATTTGGCTTTCTAATCTGTTAATAGTGTTTTTTGCATAGCAGAGACAATTTAATTCCTAATAATAATAATAATAATAATAATTAAAGAAAGCCACCCAGGGGGGCCGCGAACTGGGACCACAACAGAATGCACGAAATAGCCAAAATCGCCACGCAGCGCACCACCGTGCCGGAAGGTGGCCACACAGCAATATGCAGAGACAAGCAGGCGGGCGGCACCGGGAAGTCGGATACGTGGAAAATTAAGGGGGGGTGTTCAGGGCGAGACTGTTACAGAAAAAAGTTCACGGAGGGACACAACGAATTAAGGGTATTCAGGCAATCCACGAATACAAGCGCACGGCACGGTCATTTCACGAACGCAGCACAAAACCCAGCAGCGCACCACCGTGCCAGAAGGGCGCATCACATGTCGAATATTGTCAGAGACGGTCAGGTGGGACGTTACAAACACGGAAGTTCATAGATGGACAGACGCGAAGTACGGGACGGTTCAGGGGGCGACACGAGTAACTATCGTTTAGAATGGCGAAATCAACGCAACGCCACGGTCGTAAAAGCACAACTTTTAATCATGAATGTCTTTAGATTGTGCGATTAAATCGAAGTAGATCCGAAAATTCCCAGGAGGAGTTCGTCAAATACAAGGAAAAAACACAAAAAAGCACAGAACAAAATGGCGACTTATGGCAAGCCACACACGCCGTTAGGAAGCGTAAAAGCACAACTTTAATCAGAATGGCTTTAGATTGCACATTAAATTAGTAGATCCGAAAATTGCCTAGGAGGAGTTCGTCAAAACAACAAAAACACAGAAAAGGCCAAAAACGAAACGGCGACTTAGCCACGCCACGGACACGCCCTCAACGACACACAAAAGCACAACTTTAATCAGGACCATTTTGAGTTAACTCACAAATTTGAAGCATATCCGAAAATCCCTAGGAGGAGTTTGTCAAATACAACGCAAAGTTCACCGAAGAAACTTAAATCAAAAGGCCGACTCCGTGGGGTTTCGGGTAGGGTCCAAGAGGCTTTTGACGTCCCGGCATTCTAAACGGCCTACCGAGTTCGACATATCGGGAAACAGGTGCCGGGGCGCTGTTTTTATCCTGTAGGGGCGCACACACCGACGAACACGATTTTGGTATGTGAGCTCAGGCACTACTCACACGTGCCCTGTGAATTTCATATTCATAACTATTACGGTGTCCGCACAGTGATTTATCCGCCACCAGAGCGCCACCCAGTGGCCTGATTTTCCTTTTTGGGAGCCTCAGTGAGCCATGGGCAAGCATCCTACCAAGTTTCATTTTAATCACACGTGCCGTGCAGAGATATAAACTCCTCATTTTAAAAGCGCCACCCAGTGGTTATGGTCTGAAAGTCACGGTGCCTAAGGAGGACAAGAACAGGACCCAAGTTGAGGAATCAAACATACCAATAAAAAAAGGTCCCTTCTATTTTGACAAAAACACAGAAGTCTAATTTACAGCGCCCTATTTTTGAAATTTCAAAAGGTCAAATTACTTTTTGCCAGGGCGGTCCCCAGGTGCTAGGGAAAAATCGGGGAATGGACAAAGCGAGGAGGACCACAAACGAAGGACTTTCGCACTCTAGCGAAAAAATAAGGCAAGGGGCGGGGCCTATAGGAAGATTCAGCCCATCACGAACGCGTGGATATAAGTTTTTGAATGCACAAAATATGCAAAAGTTATTAAGTAACCAAAAGAAAATACTTTCCTAAATAGTAGCGCCACCTACGACCTAAAAAAAACACATAAATATCAAATTTTCACCAGGCCTGACAACTTTGCCAAATAAAATTGAGTTTCGATATGTTCAGGGGAAAACGCTGTCGAAGTGGCCTAAAAATAATAAAATAGGTAAAAACAAAAAAGGGACCTCCAGCCTTGCGAGGTCCCTAATAAGTATGCATGATATTTGGCCATGTAAGGCTTCTTGTTGTTATTTATTTTATTTATTTTTTATCAGGTCCAAACTTGAGAATTCAGGGGCACCCATGTGGATTCAAGCTGAATATCTTAACCATGAATCACAACGTCCCCAGTTTGAATCCAGCCTTGGTTGTATCTCTCTCTCTCTCTCTCTCTCTCTCTCCCTCTCTCCCGCTCTTTCCAATAAAAGCATCAGATTTTAAAAAAAAAAAACATTGAACTTAAATGTGTTTGTTGTCAGGTCTTTACTCAGGTAAGGTAAAATACCACAACAGTAAAGTGGACACACACACGCACAAATTCCACTCTACCCCCTCCTCCAGTAGATTGTGCCTCATACTGCTTTGGTAGCCTTGGTTGCACAGGCAACAGCAGAACTAGTCTCCAGTCACTCACGTTTTCATGCAGTGGCTATAGTATAGAAGAATCTTAATCTCTTGAGTGCTCCATGGGAGTTATTTTCTCCCACTCAAAGTCACTGGAATGTGCACAGCTGCAGTTCAAGCCTCGACTTTGAGGCTTTCACCTTACGTCCCCACTCCCCTCGCTTCCTTCGTTTTATTTTTCCGTAGTCCACTGTAGCTTAAATTATGCACACAGTACTTAACATACTGTGTGACACGTACAAATTCACCAGCACAAACAGGAGACGCTACACAGAGTTGCTGTCAGCACTGAAGGTTAATTGAAAGCCTATCTCTCTTTCTCTGGCTTTCTTTCTTTGTTTTAGCCGTTCAGTAATACACACAGCCCTCCTCCTCCTCCTCCTTCTCTCCTCCTCCTCCTCCTCCTCCTCCTCCTCCCTGGGCTCCATGCAGGCTTGGCTTGCATCCTGGGCTTTGGAATTCATGTGTCCCGCCCTATCGATTTGCTTTCATTTTTTAAGGTCAGAAGCTGAAATCTTACACAATGAGGCATAGAGGGTCAAAACCAGCCCATTATTTACAGTGTTGGGCGAGAAGGCAGAAAGTGAAGTTATCCAAGGGGAAAGAAAAAGGCCGGAAGAGTCCCTAGGGATGAAGAATGGAATGGGTGCTGAAGGTCTCAGAGGAATGGCGACTGTTAGGTGGAGAGCAGGACTGGGTGAGCGGGTTTAATGTCGGATTCTTAAAGACTTATGTTGTTTTTTGGTTTTTATGTTATGCATGGAAAAAATTTATAAAGTGAGTTTCTACTTCTACTCTCGTACTCTTGAGAAGTGCAAATGTTTAGCTGTGTAGGATAAGTTAAATGGACAAGAAGACGCTCTTCAAGTGCTTGTGTCTGTGTCTACATGTGTGGTGGATGCATTTAAATACGTTGAGGGTGGTACGTGAGCTTCAACACGCAAGCACAGAAGCATGCACTCACACATTCACACCAAAAATGTTTTCCCCCCTTTTTTGTTTTAAATCAAGTTCTCTGTTGGCTCTCTCTGGTCACCCCACTGGGGGTTAATAACCGAGCTTGTTTCTCTTTCCGGACAGTTCCATGACTGCTGTTTACCCTCAGCCTGTCAGCCAGCAAGATCCGGCTTTTCAAATATATAATAAATATAGGCCTCGTGTCAGAACGATGAGGATTAAATACAGCACTTGACAAAAGGGTATTTCAGCAAGAGAACAAAGGGAATGGAAGATTGAGGGAAAAAGGGAGGGACAGACAAGGGAAAAAGGCAAGAGAGAAAGAGTTAAAGAGAGAAATAGAGGAGTGTGGGGGAATAGCTGGTTATGACACTTCAAAAACCTCCAGGTGGTAAATGAGAAAAACCTCCATTCTCCCTCCTCCCTACCCAGCTGTGACATGCCGCTACAGAGGCTTACTGGGGATTTCAATTTGCCGCACTGTATTTTAGATGGGCAGAATGGTTTACACAGGCCCAATTTACCGAGCCAGTCGTGCAGGGGGGTTCACAGCCTCTGTGACATGCCAGGGAATGTTTATGAGTGTATTAAGTGAGGATGATAAATCTAGCGTACGTTACATAGGCTGAGGGCACGCAGTGCTGCACTGTATATTCACACACCCACACAAGGACAACACATATTTTTATTTTACAGACCATAGCTAGCCCTCTCTGTCACTGAGAGTAATGTATTGTTATTTACATGCTTGTGTACTGTATATACAGCATCTTGTACTTGAAATCTTACACATGTGCAAGTGCTGTTGCGACTTATTTATACTGCATGTGATTGCTGTCCTATTAAGAGCATCTCCTAAATATCAGCTTTTTCATGAGCAGCTTTGTGACAAATGCAATTTTCAGATAATCCAAAGGGGTCTTTAAATGGTTTATTTAACTTTAGAAGTATTTACTCAACACAAAAAATAGCAATGGTGATGAGATGAGTGTCATTTTCTCATGTCAAGTCTAAGACATTTGAATTAGAAATGAGGACTTTGAACAAACATGTTTTAGGAAAAAGCAATAATTATTATTATTATTACAATTACATTAAACTTTTAATTTCCTTACATATTTATGATATGACATCTCTATAGAAAGCATGTGAAAAGTTGGTTTTCCCTTTTTTTCCCAAGATGATTATATCTTTAAATGGCTATAAGTAGCTCTTTTATCCAAAACACACACACACCTATGACAGCAAGCTACTGACCATCAAGAGCAATTCGTCTTATCCAAGGACACTTTGACATGTGGAGAGGGGAGCTGGGGATCGAACCGCCAACCCTGTGATCACTGGACAACACACTATACCTCCTGAGCCACAGCCACCTTAAATCTTTAGATAAGGTGGTTAACTCAATTCTATAAAAAAAATATATACTATGTGAGTACACAATGTTTGCCACACAGAGAGGAGGGCAGCCCTAGCAGTAATTGGAATGAAAGCAAGGCTGTGGCTTCCCTGCCTCTCTCCCTTCCTCCCTGCACTCTGCAGGGAAGGGCTGCGACTGGAAGAGAGGCGGTTGTGCACCACCGTGGTAATTGGCCCTGATTTATAGGAGGCCAGAGCAGTCAGCGAGAGCTAGCTCAACACTGGCAAGAGGCCAGACAAGGCCATGCTGTCAATATCAGTAAACCAACCCAACCCAGCCCAAACCCCAGCGGCCAGGACACCACTACTCGAGATCAGCTGTCACCATGCAGGAGGGTGCACATGTGTGTGAGTGCATGTTCATGTGTGCATGCCTATTTTCAGTTATGTGTGTTCCTGTGTCTGTGTGTTTGCATTCAATGAGTCACTTGAGTCACACACACACACACACACACACACACACACACACACACACACAAGAAAACCTGCCACAAAAAATGACAAGCAGTCTCCTTAAATTGAAGAAAAAAGCCTCTCAGCTCATCCTCCATTAATTCATGCTGGCAAAGTCTCTGCAAAGACTCTTAAAGACAAGCATAGTCCCAGAGGCATCCCTTCCAAACTGCCAGAACTAACAGCTAGCTCGGCGGTCGGCTGCATTCACAGCAGCCTCTAAGCACGAAGGGAACACAAATCCCCCATCCATCCTGGATAGCGGCTTCCAAACCTTTAGCCCTTAAACATGTGTTTTGAGAACCGCGGCCGCATCTCAATGTCGAGGGAAGAGGGAGGGACACTGAAAGACAGAAGGAAGAGAGCTATTGCCTGTCCTCCTTTTGCCTCTCAGTTTCATGCCTCACTCTTTCTCTCTTTGTCTATGCCTGTCGAGGTAAACCCATAGCCAGAGGAGTGAATAGCAAATCATCCCCAACTCACCTGGGAATGCAACGCTGCTGATGCTACAGCCAAATGTATCCTAATAGGGAAGACCGAGAGCTTTCTGTATCGCGGGGGCAAGTAGAGAGTGCAAGGAGGAGAGAAGAGGGAGGAGAGAAAGAAAAAGAGATGCAAGTTACAGGTATGAAAGAGTTGAAGCCAGGGCCTAAGAGAACAGCCAAAGAAAAGAGGAGGAGAGGAGAGGAGAGGAGAAATAAAGTACAGGAGTCATTTTGACTGTCTCATTCTCTCTGGACTTCCACCAGCCTGCAGGCCTTCTTCAGTAAAAACAAAAAGCCCTGGGATCTGGGACAGTAGTATGCCAACACTGCCATGGACAATGACGCAGGGGGCTAATTTTAAATATGCTGATTGGTCCATCTCCAGTAACTCTCAAGGCAGGAGAGCTCTTTCTCTCTTCACGTTTCTCTGTCATGGCTTTTTACTGGCCACTGCCTTATTTTCAAATTTATTTTCTTATTTCTTCTCTGCCCTCCCCCCTTACTGGCTCTCTTTCCCTCTCACTTTCTCTTTGGGGCAGATAAGACAGGGATGTTGTCTTCCGTGTCAGAACCCATGTGTCTGGATACAGAGGCCCAGGGTTAAAATAGAGGCAATATCTTTTCCAGGGGGTAGAGATAGGATACATACATTTTATCTGACAGAGAGGACAAGAGCTATGGAGGTAAACAAGCCGTGCTTTATGTAGCATCACTGTTTAAAAACACAGAGTCATCTGTTTTAGCTGCAAGGGTGTGACATAATGTACAAATAGTATTATGTCTGAAATGCATCATTTTAATATAAGACATCAATTTGAAATGGAAATAATATAATCAGTTCAAGCTTGATTGTAAACTGCTGTGTTATTACCTACTACCTGTAAATCTGGCATCCAAAGATAGCACAAGGACAGAAATGGAATTACAGTGCTTTTAAGAATGAACCTTTTTAGCTGTTTCATTTATTTACACTCCTTTGTAAGAATTTAATTGGTACTCTCATCCAGAGAAGTACTGTGGGATCAATAATTAGTCACGAATCACCACAGTTTAGAAGACTAAAAATAAATATATTCAAGGAACAACAATGCCAGCGTATAACCTAGAAAACTGTTGTTTTTTTTCCTGGCTTTTATCAGGAGTGAAGCTCTATCAGGAGAAGGTGGAGGGCAGAGAGAGGAAGTGATTATATCATAATGTCTCTATACTTTATGATATTATTACAAATTAACAATGAGACCTCTAAAACAGCCCTTGGTTGCAAAGCATATGCCAGCTGTAGGACTGGTGAAGTGTTTAATATCCATTTAGTTCTCATGAGCATGTGGCCAAAAGGATGTCGGGAAGTTTGTGGTAAATCTGTGTCTTTTAAGCCTTGCTAAATCACTGGACGACATATGATGAATATATTATAAATGTTTGACACATTTGACAGAGACTCTCACAGTTATGAATTCGAGCAGTAACAAACTGCCTCCTCTGTTCAAACAATTTAAGAATCCATTTCCAACATGTTACTTTGAGCTAGTAACTCTCTCAGTGAGGTCCTCCATCACTTCAGACTCTTGTTTAGTTTCTGCAAAGTGAGTAGGACCTGGGACAAACACACATTTCCCGTTAGAAGATACAACGCACAGCCAATTTACAGAACAGGTTGGTCATCAGGCCCACACAAAAACCTACATAAGCACACCGTAGGCTTCTATGTTTATACCACTCCTCTGACAACCATAAACTTGGTTCTCTACGGACATTAACAGTCACTGGTGTTTAGGTGACATAACTGGGGCTGAGGGGTGTTTGTGGAGAGCGATTACGATGGTTTGGCCGTGAGTCCGGTGGCCGACGCAGAGGGATCCGTAAAAGAAAGAACGGAGAGCGAGCCGTAGGCAGAGACTAAGTGAAACTCGACGGACATAAATATTTGGGCTGATTTGTCATCATTATGGCCAGCTGGGTCTGTTTGCAAGCTAGCCAGTGTGGGAGTGGAGACTGCCGGATGGATGGAGCGAGGAAGTGGGAGGACACTCATTTAAAGACAGAGCAACCAAGAGAGGGACAGAGGATGAGAGTGTGGAAAAATAGAGAATGAGAATGTTATGAACTTTGGTCTCCATCTGAACCTGAGCTGGCACCCACAGTCTCAAAACTGATTCACTGATATACTGTGGCTATGATCCATGAACAAATAATGGTTACAGATTGGTCCACACATCATTAATTGTACCAAACCCCCATTTTTGAGCAGACAGGTTTGGCAAATTGAGTTTTCTGATTAATTATTTCATCATTTAGTCTAGAAAATGTCTGTGAAAAGTGATAAATGTACATCATAATTTTCCAGGGCCTCATTTCAGAATACTTGCTTTGTCTAACCAACAGG